ATATGCTCAGACATAGAGATTAATAGAGGGAAGGTAAGAAATTAAAAAGAGAAGGTGAAGGGGGGCGTAAACTGAGAGGAAGACAGATGAAGAAACAGAGAGAGAGGAAAAAACTGAGAGAGGATATGGTAGGGGAAGAAATGGGGAGAGAGGGTGAAGGGAGAGAAATGGAGAGCAAAGGAAAATCAATGACAAGAAGATAAGAGGGACAGGAAATAAACAGAAGGGGTGAGAAAGACAAGAGAGAGGACAGGGATGATAATGAAAGAGAAAGGGCAGGAAAGAAAAGGAAAGAGATTGGTTGGAAAACAGAAAGAGAGAGAAGAAATGGAAAGGAAAAGGAGAAAGAAGGGTCGGAAAGAGAAAGAGAGAAGAAACAGGGAAAAAGAAAAAGTGAAAGAGCAGGAAAGAGAAAGAGAGGGAACAGGAAAGAGGAAAAGAGAGAAAGAACAGAAAAGAGAAGGTGAAAGAAAGAATGAGAACAAGAAGAAACAGGAAAGAGAAGGATAGAGAAAGGTTGGAAAGAGGTGAGAGAAGAGGAAAGAAAGAAAAGGAAAAAGAAAGAGCGGGTAAAAGAGAGAGAGAGAGAGAGAAGGAAAGAGAAACAGAGAGGAGAAGCAGGAAAGAAAAGGAAAGAGAAGAATAGGGAAGGAGTGGGAAAAAGAAGAGAGAAGAGATGGGAAAGAAAAGGAGAGAGAAGTGTAGAGAAAATGAGAGAAGGTGAAGGAGAGAGAAAGTAGATATGCATGTGCATTACACAATTATTTCAATATGTGCATTTCCAGACAGTACTGCCTGGCACAAGGCTAAAATAAAAAGCACCCCCATGAGAAAATAGTGATTAGCAATAGCTTATAAACATACCCATAACTTTATGGTGGAGTCTTGTACATATATTTAATAGGCGTATGTGTGGGTATTGGACATTTGTTTTAATGTATTATCTCCCAGATGTTCATATGAGTGAAAGTGCAGTTGACTAACACTGATAAAAATGGAATCGGCAAGCAGTGTTCAAATTCAAGCTGAAACAATTTTTATTAAGGACCTCAGGAAAGGTATGAACCAATCTCTTCAACCATCCCCAAACTATGAGTTAAATAACACAGAAACACCTGTTGCTGTCTCCCATTTGCCTTACCCGATTTCATTGCCCAAATGCATTCAGCTGTTGCAAACATATTAATGATTTCTATCTATGACTGATTTCAAATTAATTTATCTCCCTTCATTTCTTATTCTTACTCAGGATGGGAGTCACCCTGAGTTCTCAAGCCTTGATTAGCAGGCAGTTTAGGAGAAGGACAACTTTGAATTCAAAATCGCAGAAAAGGCAACAGGACCCCCCACCCCATGATCTTTTTCAGGAAAATATCATATGCATGTTTACTGACATTAAAGAAGAGGAAGTCGCAGAGATCCATGATTGCTTAGGTCCTGAGTAGGCATAGCACTTAAAAGTATCCATATGATGCATTTGTACAAGATTCAAAGTGAGAGTTTGGATGCATGCCCTCCCTCCACACATATATTTGATACATTGCTTTCCTGTCATGTTTGACGAATGAGGGTGTAACAGTTCTGCTCTTAGAACTGAACACCCAGACTATCTGTATATATTATTTCATTATAATGGTGAAGGTTTAAGTAGAACCATTCAAACTTTTTTGAAGAACCAAATAAAGAACACTGGTGCATATAACGTGCCACAAGGTCTCAAAATGGTCATCCTTAGGTTTGAATTCAGAGTTGTCCTTCTCTTAGATTGGTCGTCAGTTTTCGTTAGAAACAAAGAAAAGAGTACTGAACTGTTACATAATATCAGCAGATGATAAAGAAGAGACTGGTAGCAACAGAAATGTGGTCCTACAGAAGGATACTGAGAATAGAAGGGACTGAACCTGTGAGCAACAACAAAGTTCTAAAGACAATGGAAACAAATTGAATAATTGTATTTAACATCAGGAAGAAATGGCTGAAATTTCTTGGGTACATAATGAGGAAAGAATGCTTGGAAAATTTGATATTCATAAGACAGACAGAAAGCAAGAGGGACAGAGAAAAACAATGCATAATATAACTAGCAAGCTTGAGTAAATGGAATGGTGGAACAGGGTTTGGGAGAAACAACAAAAAGACAAAATTTATTAAGAGCTACAAAGAACAGAAAATTGTGGAGAGCCATGATCGCCAACATCCTGCAGAGACACAGCACATAGAAGAAGAAGTGACAAAGAAATTACAAAAAGAGCTTAAGTTGGTGGATGCTTATTTTTCGCAGAAGCCCTGATCAGTTTGTAACCAAGATTGGAAATAAAGAAGAAAAACATAAGAAAATAAAAACAGGTAAAATTCATTAATTGGCATTTATCCACACAGCCATGCTGTCATTACACAAAGCTGGTATACAGTTAAGATAAGCATTTTATCCTTACCTGTTCTATTTTGCAGCACTACACTCTTATTTTGATCCTTTATTATTTACTACCATTTCTTGTTCTTCATGAGGGATCATGGCTCTCCATAATTTCCTATCTTATGTGTTTTTATTATTCTTCCCATTACCTGTTCTACCATCCCTTTGCTCATTAAGTAGGTTACTTGTGCCTTTCTTCTGTCCCTCTTGCTTTCAGCATGACCTGTGAGTGTTAAATCCTCCAAGCTTTCCTTCCTCATATTATCTGTCCCAGGAATTTTAATTATTTCCGATTCTGAGTAGAGCTGCCCTTTTCACTCCCATTTTCCTTAAAACTTCCTTGTTACTTACGTGCTTCGTCCATGGTATTCTCAGCATCATTCTTTAAAACCGCTTCTGTTACCTCAATCCATATAGAAGGCCTGATAGCAGTTCATCATTTTTATATTTTTTCTTGTTTCTAACAAAATTTTACTGTTTCTTGCAAAATGTCATGTTTGATTTTGACATCTACAATTAGTAGCTCGCATTTGGACTTCTATATTCTTACAATTAATAGTCCTTACTTCTTGTTTTCTTGTACTCCCTTGTTCTAGGCATCTCGGTAGTTTTCTTTCTGTGTCTGCCATCAACACAACGTCATCTGCATATCTTCTGCTAGAAAAATTCAGTGCATAAATGATCAAGTCTCTCAAACTCTCGGCACTGCACCACTTTTACCAAAGAGTGAAATCCTTACATTAGAGAAGAAAAGAGGACCAACAAAATTAATCTGTTTGTTTGGAAATATTAGGTTTTTATTTTCACTATAGAGATGAATTTGATTATTGATCCATCTCAAATAAATCTCCAGAACTTTTTCAGACAATTTGCAAGAAGAATTTGCAAGAACTTAACAATTAGAAGAAGACATCTGAACTACAGCAGTTAATGTTGAACAATTTCCTCACAGCTGAAAAGAAGACTTACACTGTTTTTGGACTTTTGTCTTCATCTTCATTGTCATATTCACAATATTTCAGTCATTGTATACTTCAACCTTCTTCAGGTATTATACGTTGGAATTTCGAACTGAACCCTTTATTTCGTCCACCATTGTATTGTTCTAGTTCCACATGCCATGCCTTTTCTGAATATCTTAGTTTCAGTTATTTCCCTTTGGTAACTCACTTCTTCAAATTTTTGTGAGGTTTATAAGTCTCAAAAATTCATACATTGATGTCCCCAGTGGATATAAGCGTTGGTTGAAGTAATCTAGGGACTTGACCCAAAGAGTTGTGAGTTCAATATTTGGCCACAGCAGGGGTGAACAAAAGCTTGGAGAATTGAGTTACTAAAGAGAAATAACTTAAATGTAAATATCAAGAAAAGGCATGGCATGTGGAACTAGAACAATCTATCTGTTGGATGAAATAAAGGGTTCAGTTTGAAATTCCAATGTATATCATCTGAAGAAGGCCAAAGCATACAATGGCTGAAACATCATGAATATGATAATAAACATGAGGACAACAGTCTGAACAATGTAATTAGCGTAAAGAGTTATAATACCTCATCTTAGAAATATAGACAGATCCTGAAGAAGGCCAGATCATACAACGGCTGAAATGTTGTGAATGTGACAATAAAGATGAAGACAACAGTTCGAACAATGTAAATAATGTAAATAGTTATAATATCTCATCTCAGAAATATAGACAATAAAGAGTTGACAAAGATATAATTCTACAGAAGGATGATGGGAATACCATGGATGGGATATGTGAACAATGAGGAAGCTTTAAAGAAAATGGAAGCAAAAAGGATATTTGTACTTAGAATCAGAGAGAGAGAGAAAGAGAATTTAAATTTATTAGACACATAATGAGGAAAGGGGGCTTGGAGAATTTGACACTCATATGACATACTGTAGGTAAAAGTAGAAGAGGAAAGCAGCAAGTCATCTCCTAAATCAACAGCAGATATGTAAATATATTACATATGTAGATATATATATAGGGACACATAATGAGGAAAGAGGGCTTGGAGAATTTGATACTCAGAGGACATAGAAAGCAAGAGGAGGAAAGGAGAACAGCCAGTAACATAGTTACCAATTTAGCACAAATAGGTGGATGGTAAAAAGCCATAAATTACATTTATACAAGATACAATACTTTATACTCAAAAATAGATATTTATTAAACTTAGTTTTGTATGCCATAGAAAGAAGACTATGCTTTTGTCAGAGCTTGAACAACAATGAATGGTACAGGTTAGAAATATGCAACTACCTCAGCTACCAAACATGTCTATTGGCTGGAGAGGTATGGTGGTTAGAATAGTTTCTCTTTCTTTCTTGCTCTCACTCGTTTCGCCAGTCATCGTTTCATACAGTCAACATGACAGAGCACAGGGAGAAGTGGACTCAAGCCTTTCCCTAATAGTATGCAGGGAAAAGTAAGCATAAAAATCCACAACTGAAATCAGTTTACCAATTCCATTTTCCCTGCTGTTATCTATCCCCCTTGCCCTTATCCACCTCTATCCCCATCTCTCTCCTCTATCCCCCATCTCTCTCTCTCTCCCTCGCCCATCTCTCTCTCTCTCCCTCGCCCATCTCTCTCTCCCTCCCTCTGGTGTGTGTTACTCTTTATTAACCCAAACTTAGTTTAGCAGACAGCCACAAGAATGAGCATCTGGCTAGGATAGAACTCACTACTCAATTGTAGTAATAAAACCAGGTGATCTTGCTAACCATTCTCCCCATACAGAAGTCTTTTGTGCTATTTTTTGTGTTTCTAAGAAAAGACTCTTACCCTCACTTCGAACAAAATTGAACCTTCATTTCTGATTTGTTTCACCAAACTAGCAAGCAGAATAAGATATTATCAACTATAGAACTCCTCCACAAAATTGAACTCTGATTTTTTTAGTGTAGGTTCTGGAAGAAAGAGTAAACTAAAATAAGAATAGATCAAGATCCAATATAATATATTTTCAAATCAAACTTTGAATCCCCAAAACTCATACAGATTTATCTTTTGGTGAATAGATTCTGATAATGAAAACTTTCTATTTTTGTTCAAAATTTGTTCAACTATCCTTATGTACATAGGAGAGAAAAAGATTTGGGAAGATTTCTGGAAAATGGCGAAGTTAGCTAAAAAGATTTTTTCAGTCAATAATCTTTGTTCCAATTCCTATAAGGTCCAAAAACATTTTTAAAAAAAAATGTTAGAAATGATAAAAACAAATCTTATAGTATGGAAACTAAATATAAAAGTAATTTTTTTAAAAGTATGACCAAAACATATGCAAAACTATTTTTTTAATTTTTTTTAGGTTTTAAATATATT